GAGCCTCTCCTCCAACACCACCACGGGAGCCTCTCCTCCACCATGACAACGGGAGCCTCTCCTCCAACACCACCATGGGAGCCTCTCCTCCAACACCACCATAGGAGCCTCTCCTCCAACACCACCATGGGAGCCTCTCCTTCAAAACCACCACGGGAGCCTCTCCTCCAACACCACCACGGGAGCCTCTGCTCCACCACCACCACGGGAGCCTCTCCCTTAACACCACCATAGGAGCCTCTCCTCCAACACCACCATGGGAGCCTCTCTTCCAAAACCACCACGGGAGCCTCTCCTCCAACACCACCACGGGAGCCTCTCCTCCTCCACCATGGGAGCCTCTCCTCCAACACCACCACGGGAGCCTCTCCTCCACCACCACCACGGGAGCCTCTCCTCCAACACCACCATGGGAGCCTCTCCTCCAACACCACCATGAGAGCCTCTCCTCCACCACCACCACGGGAGCCTCTCCTCCACCACCACCACGGGAGCCTCTCCTCCAACACCACCATGGGAGCCTCTCCTCCAACACCACCACTTAAGCCTCTCCTCCAACACCACCATGGGAGCCTCTCCTCCACCACCACCACGGGAGCCTCTCCTCCCACACCACCACGGGAGCCTCTCCACCAACACCACCATGGGAGCCTCTCCTCCAACACCACCACGGGAGCCTCTCCTCCAACACCACCACGGGAGCATGTCCTCCAACACCACCACGGGAGCCTCTCCACCACCACCACGGGAGCCTCTCCTCCAACACCACCACGGGAGCCTCTCCTCCAACACCACGGGAGCCTCTCCTCCAACACCACGGGAGCCTCTCCTCTAACACCACGGGAGCATCTCCTCCAACACCACCACGGGAGCCTCTCCTCTAACACCACGGGAGCATCTCCTCCAACACCACCACGGGAGCCTCTCCTCCAACACCACCACGGGAGCCTCTCCTCCAACTCCACCAAGGGAGCCTCTCCTCCAACACCACCACGGGAGCCTCTCCTCCACCACCACCACGGGAGCCTCTCCTCCTCCCCCACCACGGGAGCCTCTCCTCCAACACCACGGGAACCTCTCCTCCAACACCACCATGGAAGCCTCTCCTCCAACACCACCATGGGAGCCTCTCCTCCAACACCACCATGGGAGCCTCTCCTCCAACACCACCATGGGAGCCTCTCCTCCACCACCACCACGGGAGCCTCTCCTCCAGCACCACCACGGGAGCCTCTCCTCCAACACCACCATTGGAGCCTCTCCTCCAACACCACCACGGGAGCCTCTCCTCCAACACCACCATGGGAGCCTCTCCTCCAACACCACGGGAGCCTCTCATCCAACACCACCATGGGAGCCTCTCCTTCAACACCACCATGGGAGCCTCTCCTCCAACACCACCATGGGAGCCTCTCCTCCACCACCACCACGGGAGCCTCTCCTCCAACACCACCATGGGAGCCTCTCCTCCACCACCATGGGAGCCTCTCCTCCACCACTACCACTGGAGCCTCTCCTCCAACACCACCATGGGAGCCTCTCCTCCAACACCACCATGGGAGCCTCTCCTCCAACACCACCATGGGAGCCTCTCCTCCACCACCACCACGGGAGCCTCTCCTCCAACACCACCATGGGAGCCTCTCCTCCAACACCACCATGGGAGCCTCTCCTCCACCACCACCACGGGAGCCTCTCCTCCAACACCACCACGGGAGCCTCTCCTCCAACACCACAATGGGAGCCTCTCCTCCAACACCACCACGGGAGCCTCTCCTCCAACACCACCACGGGAGCCTCTCCACCACCACCACGGGAGCCTCTCCTCCAACACCACCACGGGATCCTCTCCTCCAACACCACGGGAGCCTCTCCTCCAACACCACGGGAGCCTCTCCTCCAACACCACGGGAGCATCTTCTCCAACACCACCACGGGAGCCTCTCCTCCAACACCACGGGAGCCTCTCCTCCAACACCACCACGGGAGCCTCTCCTCCAACACCACGGGAGCCTCTCCTCCAACACCACGGGAGCCTCTAAACCACCACCACGGGAGCCTCTCCTCCAGCACCACCACGGGAGCCTCTCCTCCAACACCACCACGGGAGCCTCTCCTCCAACACCACGGGAGCCTCTCCTCCAACACCACGGGAGCATCTCCTCCAACACCACCACGGGAGCCTCTCCTCCAACACCACGGGAGCCTCTCCTCCACCACCACCACGGGAGCCTCTCCTCCAACACCACCACGGGATCCTCTCCTCCAACACCACCATGGGAGCCTCTCCTCCAACACCACCACGGGAGCCTCTCCTCCAACACCACAGGAGCCTCTCCTCCAACACCATGGGAGCCTCTCCTCCACCACCATGGCAGCCTCTCCTCCACCACCACCACGAGAGTCTCTCCTCCTCCACCACCACGGGAGCCTCTCCTCCAACAACACCACGGTAGCCTCTCCTCCAACACCACCACGGGAGCCTCTCCTCCAACACCACCACGGGAGCCTCTCCTCCTCCACCACCATGGGAGCCTCTCCTCCAACACCACCATGGGAGCCTCTCCTCCAACACCACCATGGGAGCCTCTCCTCCAACACCACCATGGGAGCCTCTCCTCCACCACCACCACGATAGCCTCTCCTCCAACACCACCACGGGAGCCTCTCCTCCAACACCACCATGGGAGCCTCTCCTCCAACACCACCACGGGAACCTCTCCTCCACCACCACCACGGGAGCCTCTCCTCCAACACCACCACGGGAGCCTCTCCTCCAACACCACCATGGGAGCCTCTCCTCCAACACCACCACGGGAGCCTCTTTTCCAACAAAACTATGGGAGCCTCTCCTCCACCACTATGGGAGCCTCTCCTCCACCACCACCATGGGAGCCTCTCCTCCAACACCACCACGGGAGCCTCTCCTCCAACACCACCACGGGACCCTCTCCTCCAACACCACCACGGAGCCTCTCCTCCACCACCACCACGGGACCCTCTCCTCCAACGCCACCACGGGAGCCTCTCCTCCAACACCACCATGGGAGCCTCTCCTCCACCACCACGGGAGCCTCTCCTCCAACACCACCATGGGAGCCTCTCCACCACCACCATGGGAGCCTCTCCTCCAACATCACCACGGGAGCCTCTCCTCCAACAACACCATGGGAGCCTCTCCTCCACCACCATGGGAGCCTCTCCTCCTCCACCACCATGGGAGCCTCTCCTCCAACACCACCACGGGAGCCTCTCCTCCAACACCACCACGGGAGCCTCTCCTCCAACACCACCATGGGAGCCTCTCCTCCAACACCACCACGGGAGCCTCTCCTCCAACTCCACCACGGGAGCCTCTCCTCCGACACCACCATGGGAGCCTCTCAACCACCACCACGGGAGCCTCTCCTTCAACACCACCACGGGAGCCTCTCCTCCAACACCACCACGGGAGCCTCTCCTCCAACACCACCACGGGAGCCTCTCCTCCAACAGCACCACGGGAGCCTCTCCTCCACCACCACCACGGGAGCCTCCCCTCCTCCACCACCACGGGAGCCTCTCCTCCAACACCACCATGGGAGCCTCTCCTCCAACACCACCACGGGAGCCTCTCCTCCAACACCACCACGGGAGCCTCTCCTCCACCACCATGGGAGCCTCTCCTCCTCCACCACCATAGGAGCCTCTCCTCCAACACCACCACGGGAGCCTCTCCTCCACCACCACCACGGGAGCCTCTCCTCCACCACCACCACGGGAGCCTCCCCTCTTCCACCACCACGGAAGCCTCTCCTCCAACACCACCATGGGAGCCTCTCCTCCAACACCACCATGGAGCCTCTCCTCCAACACCACCACGGGAGCCTCTCCTCCAACACCACTATGGAGCCTCTCCTCCAACACCATGGGAGCCTCTCCTCCAACACCACCACCGGAGCCTCTCCTCTAACACCACCACGGGAGCCTCTCCTCCAACACCACCACGGGAGCCTCTCCTCCAACACCACCACGGGAGCCTCTCCTCCAACACCACCACGGGAGCCTCTCCTCCAACACCACCAAGGGAGCCTCTCCTCCAACACCACCAAGGGAGCCTCTCCTCCTCCACCATCACGGGAGCCTCTCCTCCAACACCACCACGGGAGCCTCTCCTCCAACACCACCATGGGAGCCTCTCCTCCAACACCACCACGGGAGCCTCTCCTCCACCACCACCACGGGAGCCTCTCCTCCTCCACCACCACGGGAGCCTCTCCTCCAACACCACCACGGGAGCCTCTCCTCCAACACCATCATGGGAGCCTCTCCTCCACCACCACCACGGGAGCCTCTCCTCCAACACCACCACGGGAGCCTCTCCTTCAACACCACCACGGGAGCCTCTCCTCCACCACCACCACGGGAGCCTCTCCTCCAACGCCACCACGGGAGCCTCTCCTCCAACACCACCACGGGAGCCTCTCCTCCAACACCACCATGGGAGCCTCTCCTCCACCACCACCACGGGAGCCTCTCCTCCAACACCACCACGGGAGCCTCTCCTCCACCACCACCACGGGAGCCTCTCCTCCAACGCCACCACGGGAGCCTCTCCTCCAACACCACCACGGGAGCCTCTCCTCCAACACCACCACGGGAGCCTCTCCTCCAAAGGGATCACCACACGGGAGCCTCTCCTCCAACACCCCCACGGGAGCCTCTCCTCCAACACCACCAAGGGAGCCTCTCCTCCAACACCACCATGGGAGCCTCTCCTCCAATACCACCATGGGAGCCTCTCCTCCAACACCACCACGGGAGACTCTCCTCCAACACCACCACGGGAGCCTCTCCAGCCCCACCACATTTTCAGTATATGATATTCCTTTCTTCAGTGCAACTTCATAGAGAACTACCAGCACTATATAACTGCACGTCACTAAATTCCACACAGAATAATTCCATGACAAGTCTTCAGCCAACCTGAAGCATTTCATGTTCCCATTATTGACCAGCAGAGCAGGTGAGGGATCTGATGGGCCGCCAGTTTAGGGTGGTGGCTCTGCGACACTTCCCCTTCATGGACTACCAGGCAGTGAGCCAGGAGCCAGGCAGCACCATCCTCCCCACAGACTGTCTCGACAACCGATTCATCCAAACGCTCGCCGCAAAGTTAAACTTCACGTAGGACTCCCTGTGTTTCATCAGTTAATTCAATTTTGAAATATTTTTCTTTATATAAATTTATAAATCTTTCACCCTAATTTATTTCACATATCCTACAACAGGACAAAAAGTATCCTAACAACATTATATATCATTATTACCACACTGCAGTCTACACTAAGGAAACGAACATTGGAATGTGCCTTAATGCCAACAGTGATTTCCAAGACAGATACAAGAGGAGTGTTGTGAATGCTTACGTCGACCAAGCTCTCACTCACAGCTCTGGTTGGAAGCAGCTCGACGAAAAACTCTGTAGAGTAAGGCAGGTCCTACAATGGCATCTCTAACGGTTATGTTGAAGACGTCATCAAAAGAAAAGTGAAACGCCATAATATGACCTTATATTCCGTGTTCATTATTTTCTTTTTAAGAGTTTCTCTCCCTTTTTCTAGTGCTCGTGCATCTTGGTTTAATTGGAAGATTTCTCCAAATGTATTTGTTCGTGGTTGACTAAAAAGAATGCAAACTAACTGTATAATGTATTACAGTTATTATAAACTTACATAACGTTTCGAACCTACAAGGTCCATTCTCAAGTGAGGAGACAGGTTTGATTCATTGATGAAGATTGATTGAAGGCATGAAGAATCAAACTATATTAACTATTATGAAAATTAATTTATTTATTTATTTATTTATTTATTTATTTATTTATTTATTTATATACAAGAAGGTACATTGGGTTTGTGAGAATACATAGCATAGTATTTATAATTTTGTAAGCCACTAGTACACGCAGCATTTCGGGCAGGTCCTTAAGCTAACATATATTTTTAAGTAGGTAAATTGTTGCAGAATTAATAAAATGATAACAGATACATTGCAAGAAAAAAATGAGATGAGAGAGATTAGTAAGTATATTAAAGCACATTGGTATATTAAAGCTCCGATTGATTACATTGACAGCTTGATTGGTAATTTAAACAAGAATAATAGGCACCATACAGCAAATTGATAGCACATATAAGAAGACAGCCATGATCGCAATGGTATAGTTGTTCGGATTGGGTACATAAAGATTGGGAGATTGGGTAGCAATAGATACATTGCAATTTTATAGCAAGGTAAAAAACTATGAAGATGAAATTAGGTACTTTTTAGTTTTGTTTTTGAATGACGCAAAAGTTGGACAGCTTTTCAATTCATTAGGGAGTGAGTTCCATACACTGGGTCCCTTTATTTGCATAGTGTGTTTACACAGATTACGTTTGACTCTGGGAATATCAAAGAGATATTTATGTCTGGTGTGGTGATAATGGGTCCTATTCCATCTGTCCAGGGAAAGTTTCAGAGCAGGATTTGCATTTAACAAACAGGGTTTTGTAAATGTAGTTGACACAAGAGAATTTGTGGAGTGAGATTATGTTTAGCATGTTCAGGGAGTTAAACAAGGGGACTGAGTGTTGTCTAAAAGCAGATTTTGTTATTATTCTGATAGCAGATTTTTGCAGATGGGTGATGATGGACTTGAGGTGGTTTGCAGTGGTTGAACCCCATGCACAGATACCATAATTAAGATAATAATGCATAATATAGAGAGATGAGAGCAGAGTTAGGTACATAATATCTGATTTTGGAGAGTATACCAACGGTTTTAGAGACTTTCTTAGTTGTGTGTTGTATATGGGTGCTGAAGTTGAGTCTCTTGTCTAGGAATTGGCCAAGAAACTTACCATCATTTTTATTGCTAATGTTTACATTGTCTATCTGAAGCTGAATTGCATTTGTAGATTTCTTCCAAATAAGATGTAGTAGGTCTTTTCTATGCTAAGGGTTAGTTTGTTGATTGACATCCATAAGTGGACCTTTTTCAGTTCATTATTAACAACATTATTTATTGTATGTGGGTTGGGGTTAGAGTAGATAAGGGTAGTATCATCAGCAAACAAAATAGGTTTCAGAATGTTAGAGACATTAGGCAGATCATTGATGTATATAAGAAATAGGAGAGGTCCCAAGATGCTGCTCTGTGGCACTCCAACGGTTATTGGTAGAGTGGGAGAGGTTATATCATTGATGGCTTTACATTGGTGTCTATCACTAAGATAGGATTGGATATAGTCCAATGCATGGCCTCGGATTCCATAATGATGGAGTTTACTTAAGAGGTAGTTGTGATTAACAGTATTAAAGGCCTTTCTCAGATCAATGAAGAGTCCAATTGGAAAATCATTTTTGTCAAGGGCTGAGTAAATTATATCAAGGAGACTAATAATTGCATCGTTGGTACTCTTTTGGGAGTGGAAGCCAAACTGACAGAGGCTAAGTATGTCGAATTTTACGAGGTAGGAGTAGAGCTGTTTGTAAATAATTTTTTCAAATATTTTTGATAGTATGGGTAGGTTTGATATTGTTCTATAATTGTTTATGTCTGCCGGATTACCTCCTTTATGAACTGGCGTTACTCATGCTTTTTTAAGGATATCAGGGAAGGTATGACACTCAAGGGATTTGTTGAACAGTAGAGTTCTGGGTGGCGCAAGGGCATGGGAGGCGCTCTTGTATACAATGGATGCGTTTTCACTGATGTTCCCAGCTTTGTTTTTAATGAGTGTATGATGGACATAACATCTGTTGGGCTGACTGGTGAAAGGAGAAGAGAGTTTGGATAGCTGCCTGAGAGATATGTGTCTGAGTCTGAGGGATTTTACTGGCAAGATTAGCACCAACCGATGAAAAGAAGCTATTAAATTCATTTGCCATTTCTAAACCAGTTGACAGTGTAAAGCCATCCTTAGAGAGTGTTATCTGGCTGTGGGAGTGTTGTTTAGTTCCTAGGATATTAGCGATGGTATTCCATGTGCTTTTCATGTTGCCTATTGCTTCTTTGAATCTTGTCTCATAATATGAAAGTTTAGCTTTTCTTATGATACTGGTAAGCACTGATGAGTGGTAAGCACTGGTAGCACTATCTTCATAATAGCCATGAATATTATAGCTATTCATAAATTCATATATAATTCATATACTATCATATATAATTCATATACTATCATATATAATTCAAATACTATCATATATAATTCATATACTATCATATATTATTCATATATATATAATCTTAATAATAACCATGAATAGTGACTATTCATGCCACAGGCATGAATAGCTTGTAAGGTAAAGACAGCAGTTATTGTTTTAGATTAAGCTACTCGGAACAAAAAGTTCCAAGTAGCACAGGATATGGTCCGCCCATAAGTGGAGGCTCTTTGGAGCCTTTATTTGTATCAATAGCTGCTACTGGAGATGTGGGGATGGGGTCCGTGGACGCGCCAAACCAATCCAAGACCATAAGGGTGGTCAGACAAGTGAATTGAGAGTGTACACACGTTGGTCCCAGTTTGAGTGCCACAGGAATCAGCAGGGTTGTCGGCGGGGCTGGCCACATTCGGCCGGTCTAGGGGAAGATGTCCAAGTGTTACAGGAGGACTGGATTCCTTATCCTAGTTCCTCGAAGTTGAAGTCTGATCGATTTTCCTTCTTCACAGTGTCGTAATTGCAGAGGTGATCGAGGCATTCTTGAGGGATCACCATGCGAGAGATCAGTCCTACTTCCCTGCACTTGAATTTCCAATAGTCTCTGTGGATTGCGGAGACATGCTGTCTGTCCTCCTTGGAAAGTATGCGGCCTCGTCGGATATACCCAGATGATGCAGTATGGGAGCCTGTCAGTACCGTTGGTGTTGGTGTGGGATTTGGAGGGGAAGATGGTGCCCAGGCGGCCGAATGAAGAGCGTGAGAGTTGGTGGACATCGACTGAAGCATGGAGTCGGTCACGTCTCGATGGTCGGCTTCCTTCGGTTCGTATTTGGAGTTGGTCGAGTCTTCGGAGTCAGTCGAGTCCTTAGGGTCAGTTGAGTCTTCTGAGTCGGCTTCGTCATCCTGGTCAGCTGTTCTGGGTGCTGCTGCCATCCCTGTCAGTGGGCAAGCTCATGAATTGTGGAGTCGCTGTGGCCGGAGGGTGAGGGCTTCCTTGGGGGTCGTCTTAGAAATTACTGGGGGCGAAGGGCCCAGTAGCAGTTGTAAAAGCTGGAAGAAGGTCATCGAGTACAGCAGCTGTCGGAAGTCCATTCGCGACGAGCAGCCTGTCGATGACGTGGAGGTGTCCTCCATTTGGTTGGCCAGCTGAAGGAGAACTGGTAGAAGGGTGATCCTGGTGGAAGCTGCAAGCTGAGCCAGTGGTGGTGTGGTCAGAGGTTGAGTGGACGGTCGGCTGGGTCTGTCATCCCTAGGGGCCGGGCGGTGAGAAGGGAGTCATTGTGTGTTCCCGGATAAGAAAAGACTGGGAATTTCGACTGGAGTGGGTTTGCTGGTTGAGGTATGATGGTGGAGGAAGTGGTACTTATCATCTTTTGGATATCCTCCTGCCGGAGGAGACAGTCAGGCTATTGGCCCATATATTCTCTTGCTGCTTTTAATAAGGTTCGGGGTCTTGAAGTGGGAAAAATATAGTTGTGCTTTAATTGGCTGTTGATTGTAGGTGTTGAGATTCTTGATGTGTAGTGCCTCGCTGATGTCGAGTCTCCGGCTATCGCTGTATCTATCAATGATTTCTCTGTTGTTTGTTAAGATTTCTCTGGTGATGGTCTGGTTGTGAAAAGACATTATTTGTTCCATGATGTAGCCCTGTTGTTTGTGCATTGTTAAACACCTAAAAATATATGTTGTTGTCTTGCCTATATAATGAGTTCTTTGGGGCTTACAGTCCTCAAGTATCAAGGCATAGACGACGTTGGTTTCCTTCAAGGCGTTCTGTTTGGTATCTGGGGAGTTTTTCATGAGTAGGTTGGCCGTTTTTTTGGTCGTGTAGTAAATTGTATTTTCTGATTTTTGTCTGTAGGGATAACGTTCCTATTAATAATATCTTCCAGGACACTTTTCACCGTTTTATGAACCGTCGAAAAGAAGTTCTTGTAAAACAGTCTAATAGGGGGTACAGGTGTTGTGTTAGTTGA